CCCCAAAACCCCAAAACCCCAAAACCCCAAAACCCCAATTAATTTGGGAAAGTTTGAAATTATAATAAAATGGCAAACTCTAAAGGATGGAAACTTAAGGATTATTACGTCAAGCCTTGCACAGTCAAACTAATCATCATCTGGGATATGATCAGGGTCGGCATCCCTATCTTCTATTTCGTGATTACCATTATTATTTACTTCAGAGATGATAATAGAGATGATGACAATGACAGCAGTGTTCTGAACAGCTCAAGTATAATCCCGTCTGTTACAAAAGCAGCTTCAAATTCTAATGATGAACTAGTGTCCATGTCTTTCTTACTAGGAGAGATTTTTAGAACCTTCTTAATCTGATGTATGGCTGTTGTAGCTATGTGAAAGAAATTTGATTATATGCCCACAGGAACATATTTCTGGACGCGGTCTATTAATAGCTGCTTCAATGTTATGAGTCACTTATTTCAGTTCTTAATTCTTGGAGCAAATATTTTTAGATTGGCAATAACAACTTTTTCATTCATGTTCGATGGCTATTTGAGTTATATAGTATATGTTTTTTGGCAAAATTTAAAAGAGACTAAAAACTCATCAACAAGTAGCTCTGCTCAAAGTGATTTTAGTCATCAAATTGATGTAGAATGTCCTGATGATCAAGCAAAGAGGCTTGAAGAAGAAATCAAAGCTGGATTAGCAAATGATGTTTTGGAAGTTGATGAATATGATGAAAATGGAGTCCCGCACACCAAAGCTATACGAATTGATGAAGATAACAAACAAGTTGTGGTAGAATGTATCCTACCACCTCTTAAAGAGTTAAACCAATACAAGTCCCGAGATGGATCTTCACGGGATAATGCTTCTCGAATCACTGCCTTTTTAGAAGATAGGCAGCATCCAAAAACCCGTAAAGCTTCTTATGACAATGGTAATTTAATTTTTGTTTTGTTTGTTCTCTCAATCAGACATTTCAAAACTGTTTTTCTCCAGAATCATCATCTTATGCACATAAAGACATAAATATATTTTCAATATAGATATGGCAAGTTCTGATTACTACAGGAGCAAGCCGAGTTGTAAGTATAAACTTTACTTATAATATCCTCTAAGCCTAGGAGACTCCAACCATATATTGATCCTTGTCACGCGCTTTGTTGAAATCCTATATAATCCTAAAAATTGTTATAGTCAAAGGAACCAGAAAAGAAAATTTTGTGTTCACCTCAAATCATATTCAAATGATTAACAAATCGAACCAAGATTTATCTGAAGAGAACAAGTCAAGAATCCATAGAAACAGCGGAGCTGCTTCTAAGCTCAAACTGGTATCCAAGCATACAGGCTCAGAGAGGAAGTGGATTGCCCATGACCAAGAAGATAAAGATCAGGATGACAAAAATGACTCTGTCAGCTCTGTAAAGGAGTATGCTGAAAACGAGATCTACCTAGATACTCATTCACGGACTTCGAAAATCAAGAAGAATTTATGAAATTCTCCTCCAGTGCACAAAAACAACAACATTTATGCAGAGCAAGATGATACAGTTCAGAGGACTAAAAGTAAAGATGCTGTTAAAAGTGCAAAAAGTTTCAGGTTCACCAGCCAGATGGAGTGCATTGAGAGGCATGAGACATATGATGAAGGCAACCGCTTTAGTGTCAGTAATAAAGATGAGTCTGATGAGTAACCCTCAGGCTGAAGTTAAAATTGATTATCAATTCAATGACTACCATTTCTCATGGGGTTTTGGGGTTTTGGGGTTTTGGGGTTTTGGGGTTTTGGGG